CTTCAGCGAATACCGTTTGGTGATTTTGAGTATAAGGTACGCAACCCTCGTCGACACACTCTCAATCTTTATAACGTTGTTAACGAGAGACTTGTGGACGATAAATCCGAAACCTCCTTGGGACAGATGGTCGCCCTCCCGGTAATAGAGCAAGTTGCCGGATTCGAGGATTACCGTGTCCTCCTCCTCTCTTCGGACTTCGGATAATCCTATAATATGCCAGCGTAACTTGTCTATCTCTTATTCCAGTTCCACAATCTTCTCGTCAGTCCTCAGGGTGCGTGCGTTGTATGTTGCCAGGTCGAGTCGCCGTAGGTGGCAACCGAACCTCCACCGGAGATTCTTAGCACCCCCTGCCCCGCCGTTACCATGGTCGCCACCGTAGCCAGGAATAGCGGGGCCGCCGGGGACTGGGGGCCGTCTCTTCGTAACTTTCATCATGGGGGGTATATTGCCATAGTTGCCACGTTTGGCGTGCGGGTTGGCAACCGCAGTTTTTTATTGTATTTTTGCCGTTACCAGGAAGATGATGCTGCCCATCTCCTGCCTGTTTCCCTTTGTCGCCTTTTACGACACCCACGGGAAGATATGGGGTAGTGGATATTCTTAACCGCCACTACACGGCAAATTATTATATATTGATTTTAAATTATTACTTACAATTAATACTTCTAGCAACTAAGCTAGCCAAACAAATCAAATCAGATATACACTTTTCTTGCCTTTTGTTCGGCGAACATAGCTGAAGACGATTCGGCGGCATTCATAGCTGAAGACGATTTCAGTTTTACTAAATTCTTTTAAGAAAAGCTATAGACAATAGTGATAGCCTTACATGTCCCATAGAAGTCCTTGGAATTTTTGCTTACGCACGTTCGGGGTCCCTGTAGCCCGGGGGCCCCGTATCATTGATACGGCTGATACGGCGGTAGCTACGCCCCTGCATCCAGACCCAAAACAATTATTTGTAGGCGATACAAATAGTTGTTCCGTGCGGGATCCAAACCCGCGGCCCATAGCGTTACAACTCGTGAAGTTGGCTAAAAATACCTACATAGCATATAAAATATATAATAAATCTTAAACAGCAAACAAGGGAATATTTTTTGTTTGCCCGTATTCCTTGCAGCAATTTATACCCACTTTACTAGAGTGAATTATAATATTATTAATAATAACCGTAAGCATCATATTAGCCTGTGAGAATGCTTTACAATAAGTTTTACAAACGTCATAATTTATAAAAAAGATAAATCCATGGGTTACATTAATAGGCTAAATTACTTTCGAATATTAGATTATCATTATTTTTGTTACGTAGGTAGTTTTCGTGTAGAATATTAAAATGTCAAAACGACCTAACTACTTTTATCACAGAAGTGGTGCGAAAAACATGGGATTAGACTCGGTCTCAAAAAATATAAAAGCCTTTTGTTTTTGCCCAGTAATATATTCCTTGCATTCATTCATTTATACCGATTTTACTAGATTGAATTATAATTATATTATTAATAACTCAATGTTTTACAATAAGTTTTACAATCGTATTAATTTATAAAAGAGATAAAACTATGGGTTACATTCAAAGGAGTAGCAGTAGTAGTATACCTATATATTTAAATCTCTTTGCTTACATTATTTTGTCAAATTAATTTCAAAGATTATTATTTATTATTTTTTTTATTACGTAGGTAGTTTCCTTGTAAAATATTAAATTTATTTTAATGTCAAACGACTATGATAACACGGAATATAATATACTCTGGGACAATGTAGTGCGGCTAAAATTAGTTTATTAATCAGTGTTGTGATACCCCAATTTAACTTTATTACAGATCATAAGCATTGAACCGAATGCCATGGATATATGCGTAATTTAATGATAAGAATGTGTGAAAATATGGAAACCATTTACTACTATTTCTTGTAGGTAAGTTTTTTTCTCTTTGTCATTATTCGGTTAAGTTTTTGCTTTTGAGGCTTCGACCGTTTCATCGGTTTCTAAGTCTATGTATGCTTAATTTGTTTTGGTCAATCTGGGGAAGAGCACTCGGGCATATTTATTCTGGTAATCACGATAGATTACACATCAAATTGCTAAATGTTAAACAATGTTGAATGAAATGCTAAATAATATTTTTACTGAGCTCAGGGCTCCTATGCAGAGTTCTGCAGCTACGCAGGATGTGTGCTGGAACTGTTTTTCAGGTGTTATTTAAAAAAACACAAAGTAGTGCTAACACTACCTACTAATATTCCCTTTAATCACTCCAGCTAAGCTTAAAATGCTTGTGTTAGTTATTAACGATAGTAGTCGAATGGAGGATTTGAACACACAACTCGTTTATTCGTAGTCCATACCCTAAACCATTAGGTTACTGTCGCTTGCAGCTACTCCAGCTACATTACGGTTGTAACACGAACGGATCGGGTCGACCAGGGTATTACGCCCTCAACAGCGTAAAATTGCAGATTAATGTTGTTGTGTTTCGTATGTTGAGTGTGGAAAACGAGAGACCCAATTTTTACTGGTAACGATGCATTCCATCTTGGACACAACGCATCTGCACTTTGACTTTTAATCCCGAAGAATAGTTCTAAGTGTACACAGTATACACTTACCACCAGGTGAACTGTGTGCTCATTAGTCATACAAATTTCCTTAAACAAATTTTTTTTTGGCGAGCGCTTATGCCGTGAACTACGATTTTCATTTTTTTTAATTTCCGAGTTTAATTTCAGTATTTAAATTTAAATGTTTACTTAGTAGTTGATGATAAGCAGCGATAATCTGACACTGCGACGGAGAACACTATTGACATATCTTTATTATAACTACGTCGTTATAGAAAAAAATATTGATACGTACTACATCTGGTAACGAGGATGCTGACTAACGACGATGCTGCTGGGCAAACATACATACACACATTATAAAACACTACCTTCCGTATAGGGCGGTCGGTTAAAAATAAACTACCTAGTTAAAGTTAAACTATAAATGGAATAGTTAGAAATATTAATAACAGTATGAAATACTGCCGACCGCGCCTCGCAACAGTAATCAGTAATCACGGCCGACTTGACTTAGGTGCCATTTCGAGTTCAGAAACGGCTGCTCCGAGCGACGGATAGTTCTATACATGTAACAGTTAAATCAAATTTTATGTCGTTTGTATTTACATCTTATAATAAATATAAATTAATTTCAGCCTTCATATCAATTATACCTTTAATTTTTTAGCACATTTAAAATTCAAAACTGTTGATCATTTTAAACAAAAATTTATATTACACGTTTTTGGTTTTCTTTTCCAAATTATATTGTCGCCAAATTATTGGACGACTCCGTGGCGCAGTGGATTAGCAATGACTTAGGCTGCGGGTCCTAATCACGCACGGAACAAGATTTGTATGGCCTACAAATATATTTTTTTTATAGCAGCGGGGGCAAACATGCTCGCGGCTCACCTGATGGTAAGTGATACCGCCGCCCATAAACAACTGCACCAGGGGAATTGCAGATGCGTTGCCGGCCTTTTAAAAAACAGTAGGCCCTTCGTAGTCCGGAAAAATCTTTTTATAGGATAAGGGTGACAAACGAGCACACAGTCCACCTGATGGTAAGTGGTTGCTGCGGCCCATAGACATCTACATCTATCCTCGTTTGCGAATCAAAATGCAGATGCGTTGTCACCCGTGAGGACTAAGATGGAATGCCTCATTTCCAGTAAAAAGGGCCTCCGGCCACCTGCACTCACCAAACGAAACGCAGAGGTAAACCTCTACTTCACGCTGGTATTCTGTGAGGTCGTGGTACCACCCCGGTTCGAGCCGGCCCATCCGTGCGACAGCAAAAGCTGCCGCGTGGCTCTACCACTGTTACAAATTAAAAAATCTAGTGGTATTACATTCCGCAAAGAAGTTGTGCGAGGAAGAAAATTTCTTCTAAATCGCGCAGTAGTGGACCGCCAATCATCCAGATGGTATGGATGGTATGGATGGTATCGCAAGTTTTGTCGCGATGTGCGATGGTGAAATTGAGCGGCCGGAATTAGTCTGAACAATTTCCCAGCTTAACTTTAAGATATATTATCTATTCCCACACTGTACCTTGTAATTCAATGTTGCTATTTCTACTAGAAAATTATATATGTAGTGGAAAATCCACTACCCCATATCGTGTTGTAGGATGCTAGAAAAAAAAAAAACTAAGTTGTTTCCCGCCTGCCAATCGTGGCAAATATTGCCTCTTATGAGTCATTATATGACAAGGCCTATCTCCAGTAATGGACTTCGATAGACTGTAATGAATGTATGAATAAGGTTCAAAATTATGTAAAAATGAAAACCTTTAATTGGCCTCACTATTAATTGTTAAATATTTTGTAAAATCTGATGTTAAGCTCTCGGTGGACTCAATAAATTAAAACAAAAAGAAAAAAATTCCGTCAATGCGGCCAGTCTCGCCGGAGAACAGCCACCTGCGCAGGACAGGATTATAGTGGCCGAGTGTATGCCAAGCACAGGCACTCTTCATATTCCCTTACTCTCATAGTACGATAGACAGCTATCGAATACGACCGCAGGGAGATCAGACGCAGGACCAACGGCTTTACGTGCTTTCCGAGGCACGTTGGTCCACACCGCCAACTTCCTGACTCCGAGATGTTACCGAGAAATTTTGATAGAAAACTCATCAATTCATTTTTTTTCGCCTGACATGGAATACGAATCAAGAATTTCAAAATCAGCAGTCGCGTTTCCAAGCACGAGACCAGCGAGGCAGTCGAATTGTATCTAGTAGAGAAAATATTAAAAATAGGCATTTAGTAAAATGTCTCGTTTGTTATATTATCGTTGCACACTTTTCTTCATTTCTTATAAGTTCTTTAAAACAACGTAAACAATACTACTACATTTATCTACGTCGTTTTACTTTTGGCTCAAACGTGGCCAGACGGTGGTCTAAGTAGTGTGTGATAGATTGTTCGTGCAAAATGCGGCTTATATGGGATACAAAAAACAAAAGTGATGACGAATCAGTGTCAAGCTCTGTGCAATCTACTGATAGCTATGGGTAGGTTTTTTCCATTAATCAGTGTGTTTAATTATTAATTATTTATATTGGTGGATTTGTGTGATATAAAGTTTGTGTAATATGGGGTTGTGTTTGGAATTTTCGCGTAAATGCTATTTAGTCTATGTGTTGTCATTATAAACTCACGTGTCCTCTCTTGTGTGTTTTAAATTCTTCAGTAGTAGGTATTAATGTTGGAAATGTTAAAAGATTAAAAAATTGTAAGGTAAACTAATTTTAATCAACTATAAATATTTATTTCAATAATAATATTTGGTATATATATAAATAAGTTAGAATACTTATAATTATTAAAAATCAGTTGTAAGCTGAGAATGATTCTGTATTTTGATTTTGAGGATAAAAATTAAATATAAGGTATCTTAAAATTATTATATTTTTAACTAGCAGTTCCCCGCGACTTCGCCCGCGTGTAATTTAGGGTTTTAATTTTGTTGCGCGGAACCCTAAATATTTTTCTAAAATATAAGTAGCCTAAGTTACTCCTTATAACATGAGCTATCTACCAGTTAAAGTCCCGTCAAAATCGGTCCAGCCGTTTTGGCGATCAGCCGGAACAAACAGACAGACAGACAGACAGACAGACCGGCAGACAGACAGACAGACAGACAGACAAAAATGTTAAAAATTGTGTTTTTGTTATAAGTACCGTATATACTTTCTTATGCAATTAGTAAAAAATTGTTATTTTTAAATTACAAATAGACACTTAAATTTTATTTATTTGTATAGATTATTTCTTTGACGATTTGTTTACACGTGGTAGAGCCAAGCTGCAGCTGCAGCTATATTAATAGTGTAGTTGTAGCACGAATGGGTCGGCTCGACCGGGGAAGGACCACGCTCTCACAGAATACCAGCGTAAAATAGCAGCTTAACGCTGCTGTGTTTCGTATGGTAAGTGTAGAGAACCGAAGACCCTTTTTACTGGAAAAGAGCCATTCCATTTTAGTCCTCACGGGTCATAACGTAACTGCATTTTAATTCGCAAACGAGGATAGATGTAGATGTCTATGGGCCACAGCAGCTACTTACCATCACGAGAACTGTGTGCTCGTTTGTCACCCTACCCTATCCTGTAAAAAAAAGACGAAAGCTCAGATAAAACTTTTCCATAATAATATGACTCATGATATGTTCTTTTAAATCAAATAGTGAAATAAGTCCAGATGAAAATTAACATACTCAAGAACTTTTGTTTTTTTTTGTCAATAGAATATAATTTCTTTGTAATTATTTTACATGGACTTTAATTTAAAAGCAATATGTTTATTTGATGGTATAGTTAATCATATGTACCTACTATATCCAAACTAAATCTACCTTTATCTAATTTAAGCATCTTCTGCCAGTGCACCGCTTCTGAACCGTCAAAATTGTATTTTTCAGGCACTAATAAAACTAAATTAACTCTATGATAACTGCTAATATCTAAGTTTTCAGAAGTGTCCGTCAGGAGTTATTCTTCTTACATACAATTATGTGTAATTTCGGAATTAAAAAGGTTTCTTTTCACTGTTGGTTCTTATGCGAACGTTGTATGGACGCAGAAAAATGTCCTTTAACAAACTTCTAAGCAACATATTGCCTATATGAATTTTTCAAGTACCTATAGGCATTAATTGTGGATATAGAATAATAAGATAAATGATAAGATAACATACATGCTCCACTGTAAGTTAAACAACAGAAACAGTGGGATATTCCGTTCCGTAATCTGGGCACAACAACTTGACGGGGAAAGATTGCGCCTAGCCTACGTCTATGAAATGACTAGGAACGGGGATCGTCAACCCCATCAACGGCGTTAACGAGTTTAGGTTCCACGGACTTTGATGTAAGAAAAGTGAGAGAAACCTGCCCGTCACGGCACGAACTGAACGATGTTATGTGAAGGGTTCTTCTCTCTATAAATGTTCACTCAATTTTAGATCCTTGAGGAATATTTAGAGACCGTAGCAGGAGACCCGAAGGTGTTTGGAGAGACAACTCTCTCCCAAGGGACCAAGCCCTAGGGTGGAATGCTACGTGCGTAGACAGACACTTTGATGGCCTCTCATCTTCGGGGTATTAGGTTTAGAGTAGGGACGGCATCAGAGGCCGCTGAACTATGTAAATGGCGCAAGTATAAGTCCTCGAGAGATAACTACATATTTGTGCGATTTGCTGTAGAGACAGTTGATCAATGTGAACCACGTGCGATGAAGTTCCTAAGGTATCTGTGACTCCGTGGCGCAGTGGCTTAGCAATGAGTTGTCGCGCTGGGGGCCGGAACAAGTATTTGTATGGCCTACTAATAATTGTTCCGGGTCTGGATGTTTGTCCTCGTGCAATTTATGTTTGTAAACTGCCTCTACGACACAGGAGAAAATCCTAGTGTGGGTTTTAAAAAAAAAAAGAAAACAAGACTTGTCGTCGCAGCTGGCGTCGAGTTAATTATTTTCTACCTCAAAAGTCGAGTTATTTTTCCGTTTCAGCGCGAAAACTCAGCGTTCTTAGTGCCATACCACGGGGAGTATGATTGTATGATTTTTGTTTTTAGTGAAACTTGTGCTTACGTCCTTTCTTAAATTGTTTTAGTTTTTCAAGACTTAACTATTAAATAATAAATCAATATATTATTGAAATAGGTATCTCTTGCGACGTTCCATCTCGAGTAGCCGCATTACGCATCCCACAAGTGTCGCCAAATTAAAAAAAAATTTGGTGTAATATTTTTAATTAGGTGTATTATATGTGTTTGTTTAAGCGACAGCAGTGGTCAGTGGTCTGCGAAATTCAAAGGTCGTTGTAATCGTGTATATATATATATTAGTATGTTAAACATTACTAATATTCCCGCTTACCACTCCAACTATGAACTTGTAATGATTCACCATTACAACGACCTTTGAGTTTCGCAGACCGTTAGATCCTGTAATACGGGCTACGTACGTACCTAAACAGGTATTGCATCCGTTTCCATTTTCTATCGCATTTATCACGGGGAGTGCTCTGACGAATCGTTCGGATTAATTCCAGCCGCCAAAATGCACATCGCGTTAAAATTCACGATGCCATCCTCACCATCTGGATGCTTGGCGGTCCACCACTGTGTGTTTTACTAGGAGTTTCCTTCCTCGTACAACGTCTCTGTGGTATTGTTTACCACCAGTCGACAATTATTTCGATACGACTACGGGACCCTCAAGAAAAGAGCTTAGCTCCTTTCTAAAGGGCCGGCAACACACCTGCAATTCCCCTGGTGTTGCTGTTGTTCATGGGCGGCGGTAGTCCATCAAATAGTACCATCAGGTGAGCCGCATGCTCGTTTGCCCCCTCTTCTATAAAAAAAAGGCAGCAGCCATCTACAACAAAAATGGTAATTTATATATTTAAACACTTACTATAACCACAGAATAAATAATAGTACTACTTAGTATAATTAAACTTTTATTTTGTTGAGAAAATAAACGTGGAAATGATAATACGTAGGATATAGTTAATTATAAGTTGACGATAAACATACCACACGGGGTTCATTAAACTGACGTTACAGAAAGTCAAGGATAGAAAGTAAAGTCAGAGATAGCGCAGTAGCTCCCACACTTTAACGATGATAAAATATGCGAGTTATTATAATATTTTTATAAGTCGTACATTCTGTCATTTGTTTACTATAATAATACAATATAGTCGTGTTGCTGTTGGTCTAATCATTCTTGAATAAATAACTTAAACAAAAACTGTTTTAATAGTGGTCATTGGACAAGTTTAAAAATAAAATAACTTAAACAAAAACTTTTTAACAGTGGTAGAGCTAAGCGGTGGCTTTTGCTGTCGCACGGATGGGCCAGCTCGAACCGGGGTGATACCACGACCTCACAGAATACCAGCGTGAAGTAGAGGTTTGCCTCTTCGTTGCGCTTGGTGAGTGCAGGTGGCCGGAGGCCCAATTCCCCCCCCCCCCCCCCATCAACATGGTAGTGGAATTAAATAAAAGACTGCCCCAGGAGGATAACTGCTCGGGGCAAGCGGAGCAATACAACCAAGGCGACCCCTGTCACGCTATCCGTGAATTTTTGCAACATCAGGGGACTTCATTCCAACCTTAACGCTGTCCATTACCATCTAGAGACGGCGAAGCCGGCCTTGCTCTTTTTAACCGAGACTCGGGTGTCCTCTCCGGCTGATACTTCATATCTCTCCTACCCTGGGTACAAATTGGACCACTCCTTTGTGCCCCGGGCTGGAGTTTGCGTATACGTCAGAGAGGACATCTGTTTTCGACGCCTCGGCAGTCTTGAAGTTACGGACCTGTCCATCCTATGGCTGCGCGTAGACAGCGACGACCATCCCCGCGTCTACGGGTGTCTCTATAGGTCCCACAGTAGTAATGCCGACACAGACCTACTCATCGACCACGTCCAAATGGCTGCAGACTCCGTGCTACAACAGGTCCCATCCTCAGAGATCGTGATACTTGGTGATTTTAACCCCCACCACGCTGACTGGCTTGGTTCTCGTTTAACCGATCATGCGAGTAGATCTGTCTATGACTTTGCTTTGGCATATGGTCTAACACAACTGGTTACTTCGCCTACGCGGATCCCAGATGTGGAAGACCATGTACCTTCGCTGTTGGACCTTCTGCTGACCTCTCATCCGGACGGATATAAGGTCTCCGTTGATGCCCCTCTGGGCTCTTCGGACCATTGTCTGATCTGGAGTACGGTGCCACTCACGCTCCAATTGCAGTTGCGATCTGCAGCTTGCCGCCGTGTTTGGCACTATAGGTCAGCTGATTGGGACGGGATGCGGTCTTTTTTTGCATCCTACCCTTGGGGGCGGGTTTGCTTCTGGCCCGAAGATCCCAGCGTTGTTGCCGATTCTGTTGCTGATGTGGTACTTCAGGGTATGGAACTTTTTATTCCATCCTCTGTGGTGCCCATCGGAGGCAGATCCCAGCCATGGTTTGGTCGCTCCTGTAAAATAGCATC